GCTGAAAAGCAAAGACATAGATGAACTCCATCTCTCTTAAAGCAACTCCATCTCCATTGCTTATATGTTATCATGCACTGGAGAGAATCCATTGACATGACACTGCAGCCTTATGGCAGCTCTGATGTTTAATTTGTGAAGGGAAGGAGATTTTTTGCAATGCATAGCCAAAGCAGTCTAGCTTCAATGCCACCGGGTTGCTTGGAGTTGTGCCAGGTGGTGGTGGCTGGTCGTGATGCTATCTTCCTAATCGTTAACTGCAAAAAAGATGTTGTTGAACTTTTGTGGTGGCAGAGTTATTGCAGTTCAGTTCTACATCTGTTCATCGGACTTCCTGTGGTTTTTCATCGAATCATATGATCGACAGCTCAGACAGTGCAAAGGTTTTGGTCTGTCTAGTTTTATACCCCTGTCCCAACCGCTAAATCTGACTTCTGCTTTGTCTGGTAGAAGAAAACAAGATAGGTTGCTGTGGTAGGTTGATTCACCAGAGCTGATAGGTGTTGTCTGTTTAAAGTCTGCAGTTCAGCGCTAGTGTTAGCTTGGGCTCCAGGGCTCCAAAATTTAAAGCAAGCAAATGTCTCAGATAGGTTTGTTTGAAACCTGCTGGAGTTATCTCTGCTCTGGTAATGACTGGGTAGAAATGCAAATAATGGCTTCACTGGACCCAGTTATTGCCACTGTGACTTGCTATTTGGGTAATACTGTTAGCTGTGGTATTTAGCAAAAAAAAAAAAAAAAAACACTCTTCACCAGTGCTATCCTCTGTATTTTCCCAGGAGTGCCCTAAGAGTCCTGTGACCTGTTTTTTTCACAGCTCTTCTGAAACATTCATATAGTGTCATCTCCTGTATGTCTGCAGCACATGCAAAGGCTTCAGTTCCTTCATCTGGAAGCAGTACATGCAAAAGATAAATGGCACAGAGCTGTATTTAAACTTTCCTTGACCTACCATGTGTCAAAAATCTTAAAGCTTCATGTCATTGGTCAAACTTTTCACATGGTATTTAATGCTTGCTATTCTAAAATGTTTTATAGTCAGTCTGGTAGGTCAGAAACACTTTGAGGTGACTTGAATATGATGATTTTAATGCTAAGGGGTTTTGTTTTTTTTTCAGTGAACGAACCAGCTTATTTGACATAGGCTACCACGCAGCCATGGATCATTGCAGTGATCTAGTGAAGTTGGGTTTGAATTACTGACCTGGAAGTCAAAAGCTCTGTGTCTCGTTAGCAACACGTGGAGCTATTCTGTGTCCAGCGTTCGGGTGGACAGCAAAAAACTGATCATTTCTGCCATCGCGTATCTTCTTTTTATAAAGATATACTTGAAATTGAGTGTATGCAATGGCAATGTATATAGTCACCGACACGAAATATTATCTCTCTCCTTAAAACCTCATTATCCTTACGTATGTTTCCAACCTGCAGAATGTTCAAGACGTATGCTGAGTGTGATAGGGTCCAAGGTGATTGCACCGAGTTACAGTCTTTAATCAGAAGTTGATTATTGAATTGCTACAGTACCATCACAATAGGTGGCAACATTGATCAGTCTGAAGAAAGGCATAATAATCAAATCAATACATGACAGTTATTGCCTGAAAATACTAAAGCTATTTAGTTTATTTTATGCAGCCCTTCTAGCAGAGAGACTATGGCATAGTAAGAGCAGAGTGCCTCAGATGTTGCTTTTGAAATTGCTAATATAACAATTTTACTTACTGTTTTAAAGCTAAAGATGACATTTATTAAGCTACATAGGAGTCCAAAATGGTCCCAGACTGGTACCATGAGTGTTTGCAAAACCTGTAGTTATAATCTGTGGCTGTGAAGATGAAAAAAGTTGTCTATGTCTAATTTCTCTGAAATTAGGATCTTTAATCACTTTTTTCCCTTCTGTCCCAGAAGGACTACTGCATGCTGCAGCACTGGCATGCAGCCACCTTTGGGGTGAAGAGTGACAGCTGTGTAAGGGCTTTTCTCTGCTAGGAAATGTTACAGTGGTTTAATCCTGAGGTTTAACCATTCATTCTGCTGATGCAACGCTAAACTGAACATGTTCCTGTCTACACTGACCACAAGTCAGGAAACATTTAGGAGGGAAGTAGGGAAGGTTACATTGCGGATAAGCGAGGTAGGATATCAG